ATCACACACAGAACAGAAAAACTCAAATTTTAGTTACTAGATAAACTTTAATTCCTCAGAAAATATAAGTTTCAGCATTATATATATTTTTTTAAATAATGTTTTAAAAATTAGTAAAGCTTTCCAGAAAGTTAGAGGATTGCACTATGTATTATAGAGTCACAGCAGTTGTTAAAATGCAGTTCATGAATGATAGAGCACAGAAGTCACGCACGGAAGTTGCGATTTTGTTAATTTCATGTAGATATTTTTAAGAAAATAAATTGCTAGTGAGTATTTTAAGTAAAATACCTATGCGACTCCTTTTTAATATATTTTCAATGAGAAATGGCAGTCATCAATTATTTCTAGCTAAAGTATATCGTTTTGAAAATTGTTGTTTATTTTCAAACTGTAGCATTATTATTAAGCAAAAAAAAATAAAATGATCAAAAAAAATATATTTAACTTATTCAGGTAACCTAAAATATGATAAAAATATTTTTGCTATGAATATTTTTTAAGAAAATCATAATAGTATGCATATTGCTTTAAGTCCCAGCTTGTAATTACTAAAACAAATAAAAACACACGCATAGAAATGGAAATGTCTATATATATATTAATTCATTATATTAATTCAGTTTTATTTCTTTTCAGAATTTCTTCTAAGTTAAAAGAAACTAATAAAAATACATATTTTTATTTATCTAAAATATTTTAAGTTGTTATATCTACAAAATTGCAAGTTTATGCAACTTTTTACCAATTTTTATGCAATGCAATATCTTTTTAGTTATGTTAAATAATTTGGAAGAAAACCCAGATATATTGCATAAAATGTCAAGCAATTTCATTTAGCAATTGTTTTATTTTTTGAAAATATGTTATATTTTTATATTCTTTTTCTTGGATGTCTTTTTCCTCTAAACTTTCTTTTGTAATTTTGCAAAAATTAAGTGAATCTTTTGTCTTCTTTTTGGACAATATCAATGTGGTCCTTTATGAGTTTAACAGTTCTTTAAAAGCAATCATTAACAACTGAAAGATAAAAAATAACGTCCTCAAATTTTATGTAGAAATCTTTGCAAGTCCAATATTCTGGAGAGGTTTTCATCTGTTGACAGTCACTTTTACTCTAGCCTATCATAGGGAACAATTGCCACGAATTTTTCATGACTGATTGAACTAAGCTTGGAGGTTTTGGTCTACTGAAGTCTAAAGAATTGAGGAACTAAGTATAAACTCTGCCAGCTCAATATAGTCCTTCTTTGTAGCCCTGTCCTAAAAATGAAATCAAATTAGAAGTATATAGCTATAATACAATCAGAGGCAATTTTACGTGGGGATGTTATACCCCCCCCTACCCCCAAAGATGGTGGTTTTCAAGTTATAGTCTGTTTTTTCACAAATTTAGTCAGCTAGTCAGGTATTTGACACAATTCATTTGGTTAAAATTTTGGGTTTTTTTAGGACCTTTTTTTTTATTTTTAGAAGCCTGTCGATATTTTTTGAGGATTCAAGCCCCCCCCCCCCCCTCACACCTTTTTCTTTCATTTGTAGAATCAGCTCTGAATACAATAAACCTATTTATGTTTTTGTGTAATAAAGAATATTAGAATTAAATAAGAAAAATCTATAATAAATTATGACATAGTAGTATATGCTACATAGATAACTACAAATTCAGATATCTAGTTATTAGACTAACTTTTGTAGAGATCCACTGGTAATAATATTTCTGCAGATTATTATACTTTATGCTTTTGATGACTAAACCATGTTTCCTCTGGAACAGTCAATCTTCTCAAAGCCTTTTTATTCAAAATGTAAAAGAGTAATTTAAAGAGCTCAAAATTGTAAAAAAAATAAATAATATATTACAAAAATGGTAGCTAATTATGTAAAACCCTACCTGGTTGTCTATGTCAAGATCAATTCATGCTGATTTTAAAGTTTTAAACAGCATATTATCTGGTCCAGAAGTTATGTTTAGCTCATCGACATGATGTTGGCATGCAACTGGTTGTTGAAAAGAACTTTACCAGTAAAGATACAAAAAGTTTCATTTTTGTAAAACCTTGCTTTGTTTTTTTAAACAGTTTCCTGGCTTCTCTATCTTTATACCAAAAAATGTGATTCATAGATTTGGTATATTTTATGACACATCTATTTCTGTTAATTCTTTTATTTAACAGCAGACATTAGTTAAATAAATATTTTTTTTTAATAAATAATAATATATAAATAAAAGAAAAACATATACCTTCCTCATTGTTTGTAAGTGTAAAATCTGAAATCCACCCTTCATCCAAGGTGCAATTAACTGAAAGAGTGCAGCAAAAATGTTTTTCATTATGGCATTTCAAAGTTTTTTGTCAATTGACAGTGAATTCTACTTTTTTTTGTTTTGTTTTGGGTGCTTCTCCTTTAAATGCAAAAAGTATTGCAAAATTTCTTGCTCTATAGAAAACTTGTTTTTTGGTAAGGATGACCTAGATTCCCTTACCAAAAAGTAAGAAAAAAATTTGTCAATTTTTTTCTTACTTTTTCCTGACATGAATAAATCTGTAGGATATAGCTCTAATTAATATATGGAACAAGTATATCATGAAAGTAATCAATATTTATTTCCGTCTTTTTAAATCGTTTTTGCTAAAAAGTAATTTGCTTAATTTGTTTAAGCAAATTTGCAAACATGTTTGAATTACGCAAAGCACAAAAATTAGTAAAAATCTACGTAACTTTGCTTTTTTGTAGATTAATTTAGATAAATTATTTCAAAAAATAAATTTTTTCTCTTAATTTTTAATAAGAAACTCTGGAAAACTTAATAGAAACTCTGGAAAAATTTTTTTTTTAAATTTAGTACTTCCTCAAACATGCAAAAAATGGGCTTAAAAAAGGGTGAAAAAGTCTAAAATAGGAATTTTAAGGAACTTTAGCAACCCCTAAAAGTGGTCATAATTAAAATTAAAAAAAATTCTACTAATAAAATATGGTACATTAAATTTAAATATATATATATATATATATAATATATATATATAGACACAGAGAGAGAGTTTTATATATATTTATGTTTTTAAAATTAATTTTTTATAGATATGGTGACAAAACTCCACGAAGCACTTTAGCAAAAGTTGCTGCTATTATCTGGTTGCTAACAGGTCCTATTATTAATGCCATTGTTATTGGTGCTATATCTACAAACCTTACATCTGTAAAATTTGCTGCTGACCCAATTCTTTACGGAAGTGAAGTATTTTTTTATTTTATTTAAACTAAATAAAAATTTTATTTTGAAATAATTTTAACTTATGTTAAACATGATTTTTTTTTAAACATTTTTCCTGCATCTTTAGAATTATTTAAAAAAGTATTTTTTTTTATTATTAAAAGTAAAACAAAATTTATCTTATTTATTTCTATAAAACACTGTTATTTATACCTTCCTTCATTGTAACAATTTAGAGTTTAGTCATCGTCATCTCCTTGAAAGCTTTTTTTAATAAAATTGAATTTAATTGGATAATATTGATTTATTTTTATATCAATTATGATTTAGTTTAAAATAGTACTGAAAATATTTCCCTCACATGGCAGTGGGCAGTAGTTTTAGTATGTTTTTGTTTTCAAGTGCTGTTTATCATATATTTTTCACCTTCTTTGATGTCTATTTTTAACTTCATCTTTATTTGATGACAGTATGAAGATACAGAGTTTTAAGTTGAACCTACAAACTTTGTCTTGAGCACATAAACTTCTTGTTCTGCTTATAAAAACCTTTGAAAAATTTTGAAAAATATACTTCTTTTGAAAAGTATACTTCTAAAGATCAGTTCAAGTGTGCTTTGCGTTGCTTTTTATAATTAACTTTTAAGCCTAATAAGTTCTGCTTGTTCATTCATTACATTGAATGGGTATTAAATAGGACAAGTAAAAATCAGGCAAAAGCCTCCAAATAAAGTCTTCTTAAAATATCTAAAATAAAAATTTCAAGTTAAATAAAAACTTGTTGTTGTTTAACTAATTTATAGTTTAAATAAGTTAAATTTTATAAATATAATTTTTGTGAAAATAATTCGGACTATTAATTTAAGTAATATTTACATAAATGTATATCAATTTATATCAATCTTAAAACATTTGGATGATGATCCTCAAATTCTAAATGCATTCTTTTATCTCAATATAATCCTCTAGTTATAGATATACCAAAATGTCTTGGATACATACCTAAATGGATGAGTTAATCATTCTTATGTATTAACCAATCAAAAATAAAAATATTAATTATAGTTAATATTTTTATTTAATCATATCCTTTTGATTGTGGTAGTACTACCACAATCAAAAGATTTTATTAATAAAGGTATTTTGTTAACAATGAATGCATTCGATTTGTAAACTTGGCAAAAAGTTCAGGTGTGATGTTCGACAATTAATTATCTTTAAAAACACAAATAAATAAGATTGTTAAAAAACTGTTAGAATATAATAAGTAAAATATCCAAAATAAAACAATTTTTATTGCATATTGATTTGTGCACTATAGTATGTGCACTATTGCTAATATTTTCACAGTTGAGTTATTGCAACTTCCTTTTGGAATTGAAAAGACACTATTAAAAAAACTGCAATTTATGCAAGACTAGTACTTAAAACAAGAATAGAAAATCAAGTAAATTACCAGGAATTTAACAATTTGCATTGGCTGAAAATCAGAAAATAAATTTGTTTATTAGTCTTTTTAATAATGCACATATCCATTATCCAGGAACTACCAACGTTATTATGTATTTTAATTCAATTCTCAACATCAGAAAAAACACTAAAATTAAGAGAAACAAAATGCAGTTGTTTTGGTAATCAAGCATAATCCCACCATGGTCCTTAACTTTGGAATATACTTTCAAATATCATGTGACAAAATAAAAACTAATCATAAGAAAAAACTAAAATCATATTTAAAGGTTAATGGAGAATTATTTCACCAGAAAACTTTCGAACATTAAAAATTTTAATATTTTTTTGCACAACTGAACAAGTGTTTTGCCAACTTCTCCATTGTTCTGACATAACACAAATAATGTTTGTGGGTAAACTTATGTATTTATTTATAAACAAATACTATGTTTTAAATAAAGATAGTTGGGTCTGGGCCCCTATAGAATTATCACTAATGCATGTTATATTGTTGTAGTACTTTAGTATAAAATAATAAAATAGTTTCACAATAAATATATACATGTATTTGTACTTTTTTGTTTAGATAGGTGCTTTAAGTAACTCTTGTGAATATGAACTTGGTGTGAGGCGAAATGCTAAAATGATTGGAGGTAAAGATTGAAAAGAATATTTGGATTTTTTTTTATTGTATTAAGGTTATTCAAATAATTTTCAAACTATACAGAAATCATTTATTTAAAAAGGTTTTAACATTTGACTGTATTTTTTGACATAGATTTTAAAAATGCAAATGATCTATTGGATGCTCTTTTTAATGGACTGGTTCATGGAGTTTTGCTAGACTCTGTTATTGTCACTTCTTTAGTTAATACTTTTGCACAAAAAAAATTTAAGATAGTGAAAATAATACCTGTACAATGTGGATGGGGAGTTGTTCTTTCTTCTGATATGATAAAAGTGGAGAAAGAAATACGATCATATGTGGGTGCACAAGCACAGTTAATAAACAACCTCGTTAATAATTTAACAAAATCCATCACGGTTATTTTTACTTTAGTTGTTTTTTTATTTTTATTCTATTCTATTATATATATATATATATATATATCTATATATATATATATATATATATATATATATATATATATATATATATATAATATATATATATATATATATATATATATATATATATATATATATATATATATATATATATATATATATATATATATATATATATAAATTAGTAGAAAATAGCTTTTCAAATTTTTTTCATTTTACAAAGTATTTTATCAATAAAGACTTATCAGAGATTAAAAATATTTGTACATATATGTATATTGTAAAATATATTTATTAGATAAATTTTAACAAATATTTGATTTTTTTCTCTAACACAGAAGGCCTTTCATATAAAATCTTCAGCTGTGTATGAGGTTTACAAAATTATAAAAACCTCTTTATATTGAACTTCCTATAAAAAGTTTTTTTTTTAATTTTTTATTTTATTTTTTTACAAAAAATGAGCGTGATGAAAATGATGAGGAACTGAAGAGTAACAACAAAATTATCATTAAATCTGCTGATAGATTTAGTTCTGATGTGAGCAGATTACTATAAAAATAAACTTGTGTACCATTTAAAAACTTGAAAAAAAATTGATAGCAACAATTTTGCTTCAAGAAACTTAAGAATATATTGAATGTTTATACTCAGATAATTTAAATGGAAGACCAAGAAGTTGGAGGTTCTTTTTCACCTACCCAACGCCTTAGTGAACTCTTTGAAAAAATCTTATCACCTTTTGTACCAAAACTAACAACATATATCAAATATGATATGGCATGATATGGCATTTCATTAGAGTACTACCTAATAATATGGAGTACCAAAATACCACATTATACAGTGTTGATATTTCTAATCTTTATACAAGTATTTCTCATGAACTAGGTTTAGAAGCAGTTAAATTTTGGATATGTAAACTACATGATGATATATCTATCAGATTTTTAGAAGCTTTTATTTTAGAATGTTAAAGAACAATAGTTTTATTTTTAATAATGAGATTTTCAATCAATTAATCGGAACAGCTATGGGAACAAAAATGGCTCACCTTATGCATGTTTAGCAGTATCTTGAAGAAGTGAAATTATTTTCTAAAGTGTTACCAATTTTCTTCAACAAAATTGAATGCGAAAACATTCAAAACAATTTCAAAAGCTACATGGTTGATGGTTTTGTTGCTTTACTAAAATTATTTAATTTGCTGTTAAAATGTCTTAGTTCTTTACACCCTCATATACAGAAAAACAATCTAAGATTTTATATATATATACCAGTTTTTAAACTTTTTAGACATAACAGTAATTCTAAATGATAACAACATTATTGAAACAGATACGTTTTATAAACCTACAAATTCCCATGATTATCTAAATTACAATAGCCATCACCCTAAACATAGAAAGGAAAATATACCTTTTACATTACCTAAACGGATCATTTGCTTTGTATCTAATCCATCAAAAATGGAAATCAGACTTCAACAACTAAAACAATTTTTAGTTCGATGCAGTTACTCAGTAAAAATCATTAATAATGGAATTTTAAAGCTCGACTACAGGGATCAGCACTTCAAAAAAAAAGGAAATTATACCTTTTGTAACTACAAATTTTGCAAATATTAGTTTTGAAAATTTGTTAACTACTCTACATGGTATTATGAAACTGTCTGTTTTAGACAACAAATTAAAATCAGTTTTCGAAAATACTTCTATTGAAAACACTTCTGTTGTGTTGGTATCACAACGTCAGCCAAAAAAT